AAATATTCAGGGATAAAGACCATAGAAACCTGAGCTGAGGATAGAGTAGAAAGCAAATAAAACTGCAAATAACATTAAGCTTTCCATGGAAAAGGTAAGAGTAGAAAAGGGCTAAAATAAACCAGCAGGGCAAATAGAATACCTTAGTCAAACACTGAAGGAAAAATGTAAATCCTAGAAAGAATATGAGCTTATTATTAATTACGTATTTGTTTCATTCTCCCCTGTTGTACAGGTCAAACCAACTCAGTGTAACAGCACAGTGGCATCCAGCCACTCCTTTGTGCAAGAGCTTCCATTGTTGCTCATACTGGTGGGAATAAACAGGTATGAGAAATGGGGAAGGAGAGATTTCAAATAATAAATAATGGCCGTGGCAAATAAAAATGTGTACCACTGAGGAGGTAGTTCAGTGCAGCACCTGATTTGCTTTTCACTTGGACAAAAAATTGTAAGGAGTCACTAGGATCAACTGCCAAGAAACCATTTACAAGACCTAAAAGCTGTGTTTTTCATCCATGTGAATCCATGCAGTCCCATAAACTTTTGTGAGGTTTTAACAATATATATATATCCAACAGCATTTGCGAACATAGCTCTGTGCATTGCCTGTTCAGGCGCCAAAAATCATCGCTTTAACTATCTGTTACATAAAGTCTCCTTTTCAGTGGTGCTTCTTTCTGTAGGAAATGATGGATGTATATAATCATTTATGTATATCAGAGGGCTATATGCATCAAAGGGGATGAGAAATTGTTGATTGAGTGTTTTGTCATTAAGAATTTCTAAGCCCAAATGGGGATTATTATGAGCCTAGACTATGGAATGCTTTCTCAGAGAAAAGGCATCACAACTTTGTGCAATAGCAGACATTAAGACACAACAGGCACAGCACAATGACCTAATTGGTCTTTTCTACCTGCTGTGGTTTCAATCTCTTAGCAAATACTTTGATGCTGCTGGGACCAAAACAAATCACGCTTTTGATTTTAAGAACATAAAACTATCTTTCCATGAATGCAAGCACAAAGATAAAGAGTACAAATATAGCAAGATAAACTTTTAGTTGGGCACAGATACTCTTTCTTGTACATTCACAGCCTGCAACCTGGTAAAACCACAGGGGCCAGAAGAGGCAAAGCCATTCCTATGAGCGTTGTACCTCACTCTCCCCAAATCTGGTGAATACGGAAGGATGTTTGCACTAGGACCCACTGGTAACTCTGTAGTCAGAGCCATTGATTTCTCAGACATTGGATCTGAAGCACAATTAGAGAGCTCAGAAAGAGATCTTGCATCACAGACACCTTGTTTAGGATGGCTGGACAGAGTTCAAATCCATTCTTGTGCATAGGCCCTCATCAATGACTCTACATCACAGTATTTGAGGTTGGTGTTTCATATACAGTATATAAATGTCAAGCGTCTTAGGAAATCTACTTATGCTAAGTGAATCACACCTGCAGCACTTCAATTTTAATCCAATTCTTTTTTGAGTGAAACTTTTCCTAATTTAAGAAAGCTGGATTTCGTAAGGAGTGCTCTTTGTAAACCCTCGAAGAGTATATAGGGTTTGAATATTCCAAACATCAAAAGCTGTTCAGAAGAGAGTTTGATCTGAAATAATGTCCAGCAGAGACCTAAAAGTAGCACATCATTTCTTTATGCTCTGAAAAAGCAGAAGATTAAAAAGCAAGCACAACAGGCCACTAGAGGAGCAGTTACGTATCGTAAGGACACACAAAGGAGTCTACAAAATAGGAATGAAAAGTGATAGCAGCAACACTTGAACATTTAAGTTGTTCATACCATAATCAGCTGTTTTTCAAGGCAGCCAACCTTTTAAGATGCACATAGTGACAAAATTGAAATAGAGACAAAGAATCAAGGACATCCCTAGACACAAAAACCCATGCACATACTTAGAAAAAAAAAAGCAGTTCAAGGACAGACAGCAAAACACAGGCCCCTGCAGAGTAGAGAGCAGACTGTCTGGGATGCCAGGTGTCTGACTGTGAGACTATGGATTTGATTAGTTATGAGGAATTTATGGCACCAGTGCTGCTCCCTTGGGTTGCTCAACTAGGAATACGCCCAACAGAGACCCATGGCAGCATGAATATGTGGGTGACCAAGCTTCTCACACTTCATGACATTGGAGAGTAATAATATTCTAAATAAGTGCATTTTCATGAATGCTTGCATGCATGTGGGTGAGCATTACATGGCTGAATGACTGAGGAGGGGATAAAGTAACAAACTCATTATGTATATGTCTGTCCTGGTGCATAAATGTGAGCTGAGTGCATACAGATTGGTACATTCATCTATTTGAGAAGAGGTATTAGAGGCCTCCAAGGTTTCAGCCTTCACAGACAGGGAGTGGATTTGTCTGCCATAAGGCAAGGCTGGAATAGCTGAACAGTAGCAAATGAAGGGATTTAAGACCTGCGTAGTTACAAAGGACATTAAAAGTCCAAGTCGTCGTTGTTCAGGTTGGCCTTAGGAATCATACCTGGACAGATCGTTTGGGGACATCTCAAAGCAGGCAGCTGCAAGACAGCATGACACGTGCACAGTTCGTAGGTTATCCTCCAATCTTGCAGTCACGACAGGATTTCCTTTGCCAGCATCGATGGGGGAAGTGAGGGTTAACCCTTGGACACAGCTACAGCAGGCAAACCTTTCCAAACCAGTTTATCCCAACTCCAGTATCTACACAATGCTCAATGCCCGTGAGATGCAAATATCTGGTTTATGATTAACTGTGTTAAAATTCCATGGAACTGCAAGTACTTTTATTTGTTTGTATAATGAAATTAAAACAGCGCACCCTTTCCTTACTAAACTTCAACTTTGCTAGCAGTTAAAAAGAAATATGAAACTTTCAGTAGATATACGTGCTATATCCTGGTATGCCCCGAGTTCAGCCTTTGTCCTTAGAGTTCTGCTGCATTAATCTTTGAAATGGGCTGTCCATGTCTGAAAGCTATAGTATAACCCAGACACCTTTCACTCTATGACTATCTCACTTTTCTAATGCTTAGATCTGGCAAATCATTTTGACATATAGCATGATCTCAGCTGAAAGTACACGTACATTCTTTTTGCCTGAAGAAAGGCCCATTTTATTCAGGTATGTAGCTGTTTGGCCAGCAAGCACTGAAGAGCTGCATTGCCTTTTACCAACGAGGCTGATGGATCCCAGAAAATGACCATGTGAACAGAGTCACAGGTAGTGCAGTGAGGCACACTGGCATGAAGCTGGTACTTCATCATCCCTGTACAGGGTTACTGCATTACACTGCATTACTCAGAATTAATTACTTGATTTATTTAAAAAGAAAAACCTTCTCCCAGGTTTCTCCCATGCCCTTTCTGAAATGGCTTTTAGCAGCTGGCATGGTGCATCTGTGGGAGGAAAGAATGAGAAAAATTGGAGTGACTTTAGTAGGACTCATTCTCATTCTGTGGCTTGCAAACTAGACTCAGTGACCCACAGCAACACTGCCCTGAATTTCAAAGGAGTGAGTCCCTCCTTGAGCTGCTCCCTTTTCTTCTAGTAAGCTAGCAAAAGCCTTGGAGCTGGAGTTGTGTTCTTCAGGAATCTCCACCACTGGTCTCATGCCCCGTAGCCAATCCTTCTACTGACACACAGTTTCAACAGGAAAACTCTACAAGTCTATTTTGCACAAAAATAATTCTATGTAAGTGCGAGGACACATTAACAGGCAGATGGAATCACACTAGTAGTGGGAACAGATCCTCCAAAAAGAGTGAACTGGTTGATTTAGCAGGCAGGTGGCCTCACCACACATTTACACATGTACACATCACAGAAATGCCTCAAGAACATACCTGAGAGAAACACTTATGAAGCAGCCCTATCCAGAAGAAAAAATTGACCTGGTCTTTATGGGGATTCCTGATGAGGAGATTACACAGTTGCAACTAAAATGATCTGGCTGTTCATTAGTACCAACTACATCACTTAGCTATTGGTCTTGATCTATTCAGAATGGTCATTGGCACAATGTGCTTACTTCTGAACACTTGTGAATGTGGACGAAAAGTGCACAACAAGCATGTTCTTGGATCATAACAGCTAGCATGGGAAATTTTGTTAACATGCTCCAAATTTACAAAAAGAGGAAAAAGAGCAAAGATGAGGAGAGAGGAGTGAAAAATGGGAAAATACTGGATTTTTCAACTTACAGAGTGTATAAGAAGTGGTCATTTTCTGCATTTCTTTTCTACCACTGTACACTTGGATGTATTTCATACAATAATTCAAGCTGGAATGGACCCGAGGAAGTCCTGCATCCAACCTCCTGCTGAAAACAGCGTTGGCTAAGAGATCAGACCACACTGATACAGGTTCTAGGGTTCTGTTTAACCATCTAAATCAGTTCCTCGATCAATCAGGTGTTTTTCATGAATTGAAACCACTATGTAGACACCACTGTAGTGTCAAGCATTCATAAAGGTACTTCTTGTACCACTTCTTTGTGAGAGTATTCAGTCATTTATTATAATCTGGAAATAAGTTTATTCCAGTCATTTAACTCAGTTTTGCCCTGTTCACGTTCATCCAAGTGCTCCAGATGTAATCTGTCATATTCCTTTTGCAACACTACTTGGAGTTACTTTCATCTTCAAACTATATATCACATCCATACCCACATCTCTAATAATGTGAAACTGAGGCATCTTGAAATCCAGTGCCTTTAAGGGTGCAAGTTCAAAGAAAGCAGCAAGCTATTCCTGTGCAATTGTGAATAGGAAAAAATAACAGAAGTGCATCCTGCTGAAAACAACAGTTAATGAACTGCTAAATATCACCTTTACCATTTTTTTTTTTTTTTCCATAAAACAGATTTGCATAGAACAAGCTCTGTTCCCAGCATCAGCACTCATCACTGAAAGATGCAAAGAAAAAGAAGCAGTACCGGAACTTTCAGGCACCTCAGCAGTATTGCTGTCCCAAGCATTCATCATCTTAAGACAAGAACATGACCATATGACCATAACGTGAGTTTCTAACAACTGTATTTCCAGAACTATTTTGGAACATAATTCTTCAAGAAATGTATTTTGTTTACAAAAATAAAAGCTGTGGGATGTATGCCTTAGTGTCCTAACATAACATTTTTGGTCTGCAAGTTCCAGGTCAGGAATTTAATTCTCCTAGTCGATATTGAATTATTATTATTACAAACAGAATGAAAAAGATGAAGAGAAGGAGGGAGAAAGAGAGGGTAAGAGTCTAGCAGTCATCTGTTAGGCCTCCTTTGATGACAGTCTTATTTTGAGATGCAAGTTAAAAACCACAAAGTACATATAAAACACAATACACTTTAAAAACATAATCCAGAATGGATTTAATTTAGATATGCAAATGAATATAAATATGTATGTATTATATACATACTATTTTGGCTAAAATAATCTAAATAGAAGTGACCATTTGCAGCATTTAGAAATGAACCCAAAGTACACCACATGCTTTTGTTGAGATCCGACAGCCAATAGGAAGCTTCCAACTGATGCAAAGCTTCGCAAAAAGAAATTATTTGCTGTGCGCTTCTGACAGATCTCTAACACCTACGCTGTCAGACCTCAGAGTTCAACTTCATTGCTTTTTCAGATGTCCTCTTAACACGGAATCTTATCTTATTCACACATGGGTTTCATGTCCTGATAGCATGGCAGCAGAGGAAGAACACTGTGCATACTACTCTCGCGATACACAGGTCAGCTCTGTGATTGGCTGAACCCTTGAGATCTGCCCTTTCCTATTTAAAATCAGCTCCTGCTAACTTCAGCGGCGTCTCTGCAAATAGCAACATCACTTCATATTTTCAAATTGTTTCAACTGAAATTTTTATAAAGCAGATGAGTTCCTTGGACAGAGCCGTGCGAATAACAAATCTCTTACAAGGACGGACAATAAATCATGACTCTGGTGACTCACTGCCTGTATAGAGGATGGAAAATGAAAGGGCAAGTCCTTGAATAAGAACTGACTGAGATCTGAGTGAGACCAGTTACTGAGATAATTAGCCGATGGATGCGAGATGAAAGCCGAGGTCTTTTCATTTATACATTAATTAACCAGAAGATCAAAGACCTTGGCTAGGCCTATAACCACGACTGCAACGTTGGCTTGCTATGCAATAATGAACTCATTATTACCTGCTTTCATAAATTACCTGTGGTAGACTATTTTATTTTTAATACTGTACATAAAGCATAAAAACAACTACAATGTTATTTTTGAATATTTTAATTGCTAAGCATGCACTTTTGTGTAATGAGAGCATTCATCCCTTCACCTGATCACTGTTACCAGCTCAGTTCTCCTTTCTGTCAGGAAATTTCCTAACAGGTGACAAGTCTCTCTATTTCATGGAATCAAGGGGAAAGGAGTGACCAGAACACCAATATGGACTTGAAGTGGGATGCAATGGTAAAATAAAAAGTTTAAAAAATCTGATTATCTGTCTCAGAGCAAGGAAAACAGATCAGTGTGCTACAATTTCACAGGACCAAGAAAAGTAAATATTCTGATACTTCATGCTGTCATTTTATGCCAGTATACTTCTGCCGTCATATCAGGGAAAAGTATGCATGGACCCATGATTGCAGAGCTGATTTTAGCTTGCATGATTGTATGTGGTTGATCTTAGGGAAAATTTCTCTTCCCTACAGTCCTTCTGAAAGAGCATAGGTGGGTCGTACGACAGTCGTGTTTCAGGTCCAGACCTATAAAACACTGTCATTTCTGAGACTCTACAAATGTCTACAGTCTATATTTGAGAAAAGCTTATAAACACGCATCCAATAGAAAGTTTCAGATAAAATCCCAGTGAGTTGAGAAGGAAGTTGTGAATCAACAGTAAGACACGATGTGAAGAAAAGCTTTGTTGCAAACGGGTGAGTTGTGATGTGGGCATGTTAGTATATGCCCTCTTTTAAAGGGCATAGAAAAGAAAGGTATTTTATCTGTAGGCAGAGTTTCTGATGCAAAGAAGATATAATCACATTTATTTATGATCTGCTCAGAAGACCTCACACTGCTGGTGAGAAGTGTAAGTAGAAGAGATCGAGCCATCTGTTGCTACAGCAACATAAAGCAATTACTCATTGCTCTGGGACACAGGGTAAACCTGACATCGATTTTTGTTCTCTCCTCAATTCTTTACTTAATAATTTACCTTCAAGAGGGGGACATACTGATTCACAGCTCAGATGGAAATAAGGGTTGGTGAGGTCCCCACATTGAACCATTTATAAGTAAACTCTTTACACTTGGACATTACCCACAAGCTAACATTTTTCCCAGTGCTTCATTATTTTGAACTGGTCTGCAAACTTTAGTCAACCCCCACATTTCTCACCAAGCATTCACCAAAGCTTTTGTTTCCAGCACAACTATTCATAATGCCTTATTCATCCTGTGACCTCAGTAACATGTTATGGTTGTTTTTCTCCGTAACTGGATGACTTGAAAACCCACAAAGATCCCTCAAGATGGCTGTAGGAACACTTCCACTGAAAGTACTTGAGCGTGTCAGAGCTTGTCATTGAAGAGGTGCAGCTGGATGGATGTTTATGGCTTGTCCCTATTTCACAAACACTATAGTAAACAAAATGTCAAGCCAAACACAAAGACTAGCAAGTACAATCCAGGGGTGTTATTAAAAAATACATTCCCAAAGCCCTTTGAATCACTCTTCCAGGTTCCCTTGAGAAAGGCACAGAGAGAAACTCATCACTCTTTCACTAATATTCAGGACTTGTACAGTACAGTTTTGTCGGCTCTTCTTATGCCCTAGAGAGAAAAAGGGATGTGGCCAAAAGACCTTCAGCTAGAAGCATTTCCCCAGGAAACACTCACAGCCTCCGAGAAAGGTGCATCATCCACAGCAGTCTCAGCGGGTGCTGAGGGGTAGTGTCACTGCCAGCACCAACTCCTCCTCTGCCCTTGAAAACCTTTCCTTGGGAATTCAGCAGTGGACGAAACCTTGCATTATTTTGGGGAATTAAACTGTGCGTTTACTATGGTGTTCAGGGTGGAGAAAAGGGAGGAAACAAAGCGAAGGGGAAGGGAACGGGGGGGAGGGAAGATTCCTCTAATACCCAGGATCCAGATCTGAATGCAGAGGGCATGTGCCAACAACTTCAAGACCAGCAGACAGCAATACCCCAGTGACCAATACTGCTCTGATCAGAACTGTGCTGGGAGCAGTGCCCATCTAAGCCATGCAACTGGCGGCTGTCTGGAAGCTTTGTTCTTGTTTTGTCACTTTGGCTCTGATAAAGTGAGTCACAGCAGTCCCTGGGTAACCTTTGGGAGGCAGTTTGCTCCTTGCTCCAAGGGCCCTGCCTCACCTCACCTGAGCTCTAGCTTTCATAGCTGAGATAGAAGTAAGACATCAGATCAACCTGCCACTCCCTTTGCCACTGCAAAGCTACCTTCACTGTATGAAGTGAGCAGTAACTTTTGGCCCATTAACTATCACTGGGCTATTGCTGAAACTCAGAAGTCCAAAACAAGTGCAGAAGGCCTAGCCAGGTGGCTACCCCTCCCCTGCCCCAGTTAGCTAGTGCAGGGAGGAGGCAGGTTCTCTGTATCCCTCCCAAAACTTAATGCTATCTTTGCTTTTAGCTGACCACGCCTGAGATCAATAACAAGAAAGCTGTTCCTTTCTTAGGTCTCAAAAGAAACTGTCACAGCAGCTTGCTGTCATTTTGCGTGCTAGCCTATCTGGATCCGCCTGCAGTTGTGTAAGGAAAGCAGAGAATCACAGAATCATAAGGATTTGGAAGGGACCACTGGAGACCAAGTCCAACTCCCAACTAAAGCAGGTTCCCTACAGTAGGTCACAGAGGAAAGTGTCCAGACGGGTTTTGAATATCTCCAGGGAAGGAGACACCACAGCCTTTCAGGGCAGCCTGTTCCAGTGCTCTGCCAGCCTCACAGTAAAAAAGTTTCTCACATTCAGATGGAACTTTCTGTGTTCTAGTTTGTGCCTATTACCTTAGGCTTGTCACCAGGCAGCACAGTTTCAAACAGTTAGCCTCTCTTGACAAGATAAAAAGAATTCTTTGCTGAATTAATTCTCCTGCACTCATAATTTATTAGCAATTTGCATTTCTGCATCATGAGTAAGCATTTCCCACAGCCCCACTGTCTCAGCCTCATCAGAATTCTGTTTCCAAATCAATTTTCACACTCCAGAGTATTATTGGGTCACCTCCCAGAAATCATTCCCAGTGTGGGTTGAGCCAAGCAGCTCTGAATAGGAGAGAATGAAGCAATTTAGCCACAAGTACTCTGAAGTCTTTCCTCTTAGCTAGTGGATCAAATGAGTGCTTAAATCCTTCCAATAATTTTCCTTCATTTATAAAGGCATGCTATTTGCAAGGTAGCTGGAGAGAAGCTAACGAGAAGTCCATTCCAACAGCTTAGTTCTAATAGAAAGACAAACTTTTAGAGGTAGGAGAATACCAAACTTGTCTTTTCAATCCATTCTAACAGGCTGATCTTGAACCACTGAAATTTCTGTCATTAATCCCTTAAGAATCCTTGGTACAAAGATGCAGTGGCTCTACCGGTATAGTAAGAGCTATGGGAATATATTTATTTTTCTTTCTTTTTTTCCCAAAGAATGGATTTGTAATTAAAATTATAGCACGCAGGCATTTAAATAGTAGTATCTGAAAACATAACAAGAATTGATACATCTCTAAAGCTTCACAGGATATTAAGAACAGGTTAGCTTTCAAGATCCATGCAACTGTCTGCCATTCCTGCACACAGACAATCTGTGAAGGAACTGCTTATAAAACTCAACAGCTTTTCAAGGAAGAAAATACACAAAAAAAAAGCCCCGTAACTAAATTATGTTTCCACAGTGTTGTATAAATTATAAAAATGAGAGAAGATAGGATTTGGTTATGTATCTTACACTTGTTATAGTCGTTTAGTCTCATGTTTTTCTTTCCCCTTTTGAATTTTAGTGTTGTTACAGAATGCCAAACCAGCACTGTAAAGGTGCAGTCTAAATCCCAGGCATACCTATTGAACATTGCCACTGACTCACTGTATGCCTTGGGCAAGTGCCTGTTTTGCTTCATGAAGAGGTGAACAGAGGAATGACAATTTTCAGCCTCACGAAGTACTTTAAGAACTTCCAACAAAAAAGCCTAACTCTACAGCTACAATCTCTTACCTGCTTCCCTCCCAGCTTGGTCGTGCTAGCAAAGCAAAGCACGTGAGTCCTTTAGGAAAGAGACTCTCCCTACCCACCATCTATTTAAATAAAATGTTTGAACCCACACCCATCTCCTCCTGACACTGGGTTAATCATTGAGCCACTTAGCAGGTGCATCTCCTTAACACCCCCAATAATACACTTTTGCAGGTGGCTGGAGGTAGGCTGAAGTCTGATAGCAGTTAAATACATACATGGAGAGGGAGAAAGAGATAGAGGAAAAACTTCAGAGGAAAATATATTCTTTATTATTTCATGAGTTTTCTTAACATGAACTTGATGAAGAAGGAAGAGGCTGAGGGCTATGGAGAGCAGTAGGTGGGCTGTGGCTGGCTCTGTGGCCCCACTATGTTCTGGTGCCCTTGAGGCTTGTCAGGTGCCAGGGTCAGTCAGTTTCCTTGCAGATCTGACACTTTACTGCTCAGAGCAGTGTGACTCCATACATCTAATTGTGAGAGTGTGTCATGCGATGCCGTTAACTTTTTATAGTTTTTATAGCTTTTTAGGGAGATAGCAGTATCTTTACAACTTCCTTCGCTGGCTGTTTTCCTGGCACTAGATGGAAACAGGAGCTGCCAGAGCTCCGTCAGCTGCTCTGGGAAGCACAGGGCCAAGGCTATGGGCAGCATAATGTC